AAGAATTTTGCAACAACACCAAAGACAATAGTAGTTAGGTAAATTTTTACCTCTATTCTTCTATTGTTTTTAACCTCAAGTTCATTCATTATTAGGAAGAAAGAAAAAAAAATAACGCACCCACTAAAATATAAAGTTTTTGACCAAATAATGTATCTCAATTATGTTTATTTTATATATTCAGGATTAGTTGTGAGTTGTAGACAATATTTGTTTAATATAATTTCATTGTTCTATATAGCGAGGAAGCTATAATTTTTGGAATATCTATTGAGAAACTAGTCAAAGATATTGACAAAATGAGAGAACCTTTACCTTCTCATCACATACAAATCGAGAGCATAAAGTTAAATTTAAGATCAAGCCCACTGATTACAACATCGCGAACCCCATATGTGGGTGGGTACATAGTTTTGAAGATAATGAAGGATGACGTAGAGCGATCTCAGACAAAGTTCATGACATGTATTAGGTAAATTTAAGTTTGTGAAAATGGAATTTTTCACAATACAAAGAGTTTTGCCATTAAACTTTGGCATTAAGTGAAATGTAAGAGAAGAAAGAAGAGTATGCTAATATCAAGGGTAAGAGGTGTTGTATGAGGTGAAATTATACTACCGTGATAAGATGTTTCACATTACCAAAATTTTTACTATTAAAAATTGGTTATTAATGAACTGCAAGAGAAGAAAGAAGAGACTATTGATGACGAATATTAAGTTGTGTGGAGAAGATGCTCTTGATGGTAGGCAATAAAAAAGAAATATAAAAGAGAATTTGCTGTAATTTTTAATAGCAAAGAGTAAATTGTACTGTGTTTTGAATATTAAGTTTTTGGGAATCAACTTCATGCATGAGTTGTGTTGTTTACATTTATAAATTTTTTTGTCCATTAATGACATAATGTTGTAAAAATTATAATGTATGTAGTTTTTTTATTTATATTTTTAATAATTGAATAATTTGAATTCTTTCATGATGTCAAATAAATAATTCGGATAATTATTGTACTACTGATATTGTAATTTATCCGGCCAACAAGCGGGGCTAATTTTAGTTGAGAATATTGATATGAGCGGAAAAGAAAGGAATGGATGGAGGTTTATCGGAATAAGATGAGAGAGCTGGTGAACTCAGAACGACAGCAGTATAGGTAGCAGTTCAACACTGTAATATTGATAGCCCAGGAAGGACAATCATTTTAATTTGGGAATTTGCTTTCCAAATTGCTGACAGTTTTCTTTTTTAAGCCGGATAAAATTATACGTTGATAGTGAGTAGGTAGGGTGCTAGTACGGTTTTTTGTTAGCATAATGCTAATACAAGTATACAACTACAATCAATATGAACATTTTGTTTGCATTATTTTTTTTAATTTAAATGGGTACAAACCAGCATTGAAGCAAATCGTGGTTAGTTATTATTAGATATATTAATTGGTGAGTTTAGCTTAAGGGTATGAAAATTGTTGATTGAACTGAATTTTATAGCCCATCACTTTAATATGTCGCCCCCAGAACGACAAGGTCACGGGCTCAAAGCTCCACCACAATGACCAGCCGGCGAGCCTCTATGTCGCCGCCATCGAAAACGCCGGGGAAGAAATTGCCCACACCAACAACCACATCTAAGGATTGTCTTGTCCCTCATGGGGCTCCCGATTCTTCATCGTGTATGAGCCACGTCACCATTTCATATTTTTTAATTAAAAGTATAAAAGATTTAAATTTATTATTTATTTATTTTGGAATTTTAGAATTGAAACAAGGATACCACTAAAATGAAAATAGGGCATTGTATGCCATCAAAGTCAAAAAAATGTGCATTTTATTATTTTCCGTCCATTCTCACTAACAGCATCAAGAACAAGAATTAGCATTGACTGCAAATCATAAATTGCGGAGTCAGCTTGGCCTTTCTGCCACACGATCACAGCACAAGGAGAAAAAATCTCAATCTTATCCCAAAAATCTCAATCTACAGTTACACAAACTATTCAAAAGAAGAAGAAAAAAAAACAATTGCAGAGTACCTATAACGTCTCCCCTATGGAGAACATCTTCGTGATGAACTGTTACCCACAGTTCAAGGGTTTTACTTGTAACTCACAAGCGAGAAACGACGTTGATTTATTAATTGGATACGGTACTAATGTCGAACTTACATAGGGTTTTAACAAGCTTAACTATCGACTTGTGTGATAGTAAGCCGTCAAATTGTAAACCGAATAAGAGAATGGCAGTGAACTCTTCAGAGCTCACCATGGATTAGTCATGTTCACATCGAATAGGTATAACACGTAAAAATCGTTACTTCGTGTTCTTTTTCTGCCGGATCATCAAATCCTACAGAACACAGTTTCTTGGAATAGCTTGATCACGTACTATGAAAAAATGGTCCGACAAGGAAAGCTTTAGATTGATGCCTCTGTTTTTTACTCTGTTCCATGCAACTTGTAGTTATCTTATGAACTAATCATTTTACTTGGTTTGACGGGAAGAAGGAGTGGAGTGGTTGCCCTGGGGAACGGATCATTCACTATTGTGCTAAAAAAACCATTGATAATAGCACTTCAAGTGATTATAAATCATTGCAAACTAAATTGATAATACAATGTAATAGTGAATGAACTTCAAGTACCAACAAATTGAAACACAATTTGGATTTAGATAATGTTACAAACAAAACAAAACATTAAAAAAGTTAATAATGCCATATAACATTTTTAAAAAGCGTGTCGAACAACATTAATAATAACACAAACGAATACCTAACAATGAAAAATCCTAAACCCACGAATACCTAACAATGAAAAATCCTAAAGGCAACGAAAAACCCTAATGATGATTCAATTTATAAATGTTGATAATGCCATCACAAAACGTTGATACTAAATTGCAAGTTGCCAAGATGTGTGAGAGACTATATATTTTAAATTTTAACTTTCCATTTTAAAAAAGGAAAATTATTAAATTCGGATTTTATTAAATTGCAAGTTGCCAAGATGTGAGATACGCACTCCGATCGGAGATTCACACGACGGGCAGGCCGCCGGCGAACCAGAATCCCAACGCCCCGGCGGTTTCCGCGATCGGCTGATCGAGAGCGGAGGAGATCGGAGAATGACGATCAGCGAGAGAGCAGCGAAAACAGGTGTTATTTCATCACGGTGACATTATATCCTCGTAAACCATCATGATTCGGTGCAACTTATAAGCTTTTAACCAGTTTTTTCTGAATCTTGGAAATTTATCTTTTAGTACTGCTGAAGCTCCAAAATCTTATTTTACTTTATTGAACAAATAATAGTGTCAATCAACAAGAAAAAACCAGGGTGAAACCGTTGTTTTTATAAAAACAGGAGCTAGTTGTCTGATGAAACCTACCGTTGATAGGCTACCACGCTGCGCCTCAGGAGGAATCTCGAAGTCCAGTTCAGGAATCTGCTCAAAAGAATGAGCAAACAGATCAGTAACTGCCTGTGCAAGAAAATACTGGGTACATAAGTCGCCAACTTTGGGCCGCATATTCACCGACATAAAACAGAACAAGAAACAAATTTTGGATCTTAAACAACGCTACATGCAAATCACTATATACTTGACCACAAGGTTTTTAATTTCACATTTTCACTTCAACTGTTGAACAACTGTTTGACCAACCTGTAATGGACAACAGATAACAGAACATGACTACCATTGAAAACAGATGCCTAAGGTTCTGTTCACCAAAAACAAGGAAACATGTGAATTATTTGCATATAGTATATGATATCTAAAATGAAAAGTGTGAAGGAAGAAATGAGTTATTTAAAAATAATTTGTATTTGATAAAAGAATAACTCGTATTTTTAGTTTTTTGAAATAATTCATTAATATCTTGGTTGTCAAATGAGTTATTCTTCCCAAATAACTCATAATGAGTAATTTGCGACAGAACAACTAGTTTGAATAACTCATCCAAAAGACTCCTTAAATTATTGCGAGAAGTGGCCTGATTATTAATTAGAATTCGTATGTGAGTTTTCTTTTAGGGATACATTTAATCACAATAAACAAAGTTAGTTTGTATGTTTTGAATAGAAAAGTTATATTACCTCATTTGGAGATGGTACGCGATCTTTGCATGTCCCCCACTCAACAGGGGGTTTGTTTATTGAGCATTAATCCTCTCTGTTTCTCCTTCTATTTACCGACTTTCTTCTTCATTTTGTATAAAAGAAATTGAATACCACATCTAAAACTGAAAAAGAAATTCCGACCGAGCTCCAAATTACACCACGATCGGATACCCAAGCACAAAGTTATGTTTTTTTAAAGATTGGACGCAGGTCAGGCCTTCACCGCCATTCTCTAGAGCGGTGATGCACCAGTGATGCAATCACCGCCTTCCTCTACAGCGGTGAAGCAATCACCATTTTCCTCTAACGCGGTGATGCAATCACCGCTCTTCTTTAAAGCGGTGTTCCAATCACCGCCTTAGTCTGACGCGGTGAAGGCCCAAACATGTGTAGATTGGGAATTTTTTTCATAACATGTGTATTTTGAGAATTTTTTTAAAAAACATGTGTACAGTGGGAAATTTTCCACATTTTCGTTGACCGTTAAAGATAATAGTTGACTAGACGGTAGTCAAAGTGATGGTTGACTTTTGATGATGTGGCAAAAATCAAACAGCCACATAGACACCATCTCATTGCCACATGGATTATTTTTAATAAAATTAAGTTAAAAATAAAAATATATAATATAATATATAAAAATAAAAATAAAAAAATTTTGCTTCAACTTATCTTCCTCCATCGTGGACATCATCTACCACCCCCACCACCATGACTTCACCATCTCCGTCGATACATCATCGTCGTCAAGAACGAGGCACGGCGAGCTTCGACTACCGGCCAACTCCGGCAAAGGCTCCAAAGCCTCTGTCAACTACCAAATCACGACGCGCTGTCGTCGCCCTCACCCTCTCCGCCCTCGCCGCCCTCACCCTGCTCCCGAACTCTGTCAGATCGAATTCGCTCTCTCCAGCCAGGTACTTTGAACAAATATAGGATTGTGAATTGTGTATTGTAAATCTAGGGTTTTCCCTTTAAACATTCTCGGGAATAATTGGGACTTCCTCATTTTCGATTACCAGAACCCGATGCTTCGTCGGGGCAATTACGTTCGGGTCAAATCACAGTCTCTTCAATTGCGAGTGCTGCCCAATCTTGTGAGAATTGCACAGAAGATCACGAGGACGAGAATTTTGATCAGAATTCATTAGGAAGTTGGAAAGATGGAGCTGATGCATGTCCTGCTTCAGTCCCGGAAGATTCTGCTAGTAGGGGATTGCTTGGTCCGCCGCCAGGAGCTGATAATAATACCTCAAGCCCTCGGAAGTCTTGGGCTGATATGGCGCAAGAAGATGAATTTGTGGATGAAGAAGAACAAGTTGATTCAAGCAAAGAAGTAGTTGGTCTAGGTGTTGTTCTCCCCTGGATTAGGTCGAACAGGTTTGCGGGAGGAGGTGGGAGGAAGGAGGAGGGCGGCGGCGGCGGTGGTTTTGGGGAAAGAAGGGGGTGGGAGGAAGGAGGAAGAAGGGTTGGGTGGGGTTGGGTCATGGGTTGGGTTGGTTTTAATGACGTGGCGGGTTATAATGACGTGGCGGGTCGGGTTTTATTTTTGTTGGGTTATATCCGGGTGATTAGGCAATTCTGTTTGCCACATCAGCACTTAACGGACTTCATTAACGGAGTTGGACGGAGACTAACAGCGAGTGACTAAATGTGTCCAGTTTTAGTAATTGTAGTGACCAAGTTTGATATTAACTTTTTCTAGTGACTAAACATGTCCCGATTTTGTAATCTCAGTGACCAAATGTTTCTTTAACCCGCATAACTAGCTAGCAAGTAAATGAATTTGAGCCATTTCAGAAAATCTTTTTGTTGTTGTTGTCGTCAATCTTCTCGATCCTTAATGTCCACGGGTTGGATCCGGTCCTTAAGCCTCATTGCTTAAGGAGATTCTTAAATCATTTTTATTGGCTAATAGTAGATTAGGTAGTTAAGGAGGGGTTAGTAGTTAATAGTTAGTTGGAATAAATGAGATATTATGCAAATATAATTAATATTACTCATTAATGATTTCTTTCTCTCTCTCCCTTGATCTTCTCCATAATCCTCTCTCTCCACTACAATTAAAAGAAAATTTGAAATTAATTTAATTAAATATTATTATTTAATATTCAATAAATTCGAACTTAATATTTATTATTTTTAAAATGAAAATTGAAAATTGAAAATTGAAAATAGATGCTCTCTCTCACTTTGTGGCAACTTGCAATGCAATATTAACGTTTTGCACTGCCATTATCAACATTTATGAAATGAATCGTTATTATTATATCTCATCATTATTAATGATTTCAATATACTTATCAATTCTTTACAATTACATTATTAAAATTTTTGGATAAATTGTTACCGTTTTATAGTTTCTTCATCAACGCTTATGAATGAATCATTAAAGTCATGTAACATGGTCATTAACAGTTTGAATAACAATATCATTGATTTACAACATCTTTACTAATGATTCACATGTTCACATCATGTTTACAACTATCTAGTCATGCCTCTTCCAATGATTTCTAATGACATTATTAACGTTTTGTGATCCATTAATATTGCTTTACATTATCATTCTCAAGGATCATAAAACACAATAATGATTTTTAACATCTTAGATACCTGTGACATAGTGCACATGTGTGATTTAGTGAAGCAAACATTAGTAAGGAAAAATATTAGCTCAAGCAAACCAACATTCATGCCACAACACCAAACTTTTAATAACAATACAATAAATCATTGATAATGAAAATTATTTCGTTGAAAATAAACACAAAATATCAATATAATAATGTCCGACTTCAACATTATAAAATGACATCAAACTTTTAATAATGATATTAAAAACCATTAATAAAAAATGAGCAAGTCACTGATAAGGATATAGATTTTTGTAATAAAAAAATATTAACAAATTCAGATGTAATGTTTAAAGTCAAATAGTACTAAAAACACGTTAATAACTAACGTGTTTAATGACTAATGCAACCAAAAACTTTGATAAGATAACAACTAATGTTTGTTAAGTACCTTACTGGATATTATTAATATCTTATTTTTTCAAACATTGTTAATGCTTATACACACTCATTAATAATGACACCAACTACATTACTAACTTAGGCTGAAAAGTTAATAATCATAGTTATATCATAAACAAACGAATATCTAACAAGTATGCTTCTTGATAATGACATTTGACAAAGTTACAAACATAAAGGAAAAATATTAATAACACAAATCACTAAACATAACCGATGATACAAATGAAATAAATTGTTGCTAATTGTTGTATTGTGTTAAAAAAAAACATTGATAATAGCACTTCAAGTGATTATAAATCATTGCAAACTAAATTGATAATACAATGTAATAGTGAATGAACTTCAAGTACCAACAAATTGAAACACAATTTGGATTTTGATAATGTTACAAACAAAACAAAACATTAAAAAAGTTAATAATGCCATATAACATTTTTAAAAAGCGTGTCGAACAACATTAATAATAACACAAACGAATACCTAACAATGAAAAATCCTAAACCCACGAATACCTAACAATGAAAAATCCTAAAGGCAACGAAAAGCCCTAATGATGATTCAATTTATAAATGTTGATAATGCCATCACAAAACGTTGATACTAAATTGCAAGTTTCCAAGATGTGAGAGAGGCTATATATTTTAAATTTTAACTTTCCATTTTAAAAAAGGAAAATTATTAAATTCGGATTTTATTAATAATTAAATAATAATATTAAATAAAATTAATTTTGTATTTCTTTTTAATGATAATGTAGAGAGAGTTATGGAGAAAATTATGGGAAAGAGAAAGAGAATCATTAATTAGTAATATTAATTATATTTGTATAACTCCATTTATTCTTAACTACCTATTAACTACTAATCCCATTAACTACCTAATCCACTATTAGCCAATAAAAAGGCTTTAAGATTCTACTTAAAGAATGATATTTAAGGACTTGAACTCAAGCCTAATGTCCATAAGTTATTCCATAAATGAACCCGAACAACCCATTTTTCTGTCCCCTTTCTTTCCTTTTTGGGATTTTCCGAATCCGGTCACTGCCTTTTTGGAACGCAGAGAGGAATATGGCTAAAGTATTTAATACGCAAGGCCCTCTTCTGCAACCACTCCTGGTATATATTTTCAGAACGTTTCAAATTTTGGTACACTTTTGAAAATTCTAAACCCTGTATCTCTCAGAGCTTTCCCCCATAAATCCCTCTCTGTATCTATGGCTTACAGGAGTCAATGGCCTACGACACTATGGATTGAAGGAGGAGAAAACGGAGTAGAAGGCAGATGCAATATTGGTTTCAAAGCTAGTGGATATGTTCTTAAAAAAAAAAAAAAAAAAGAAACTTGACATTATTGTCTTCATATTTGATGGATTAAATTTACCAAACATCACATTATCTATATTATTTATTTTTCATCTTAGAGATAATCGTTGGATTTCTAACCGTGTTCACTATTATCGGTAGCTCGTGGGTCGAGCCTTCTGCCTTGATAGCTTTTGTACTGGTTGATGTTGTCACCAACTCTTGATTGGAATTGAAATATATTTGCGATGATATATATATATATATATATATATATATATATATATATATATATATATGTGTGTGTGAATGATTCTATCTTTATTCATCATTGTCGCTGTAGAAGCATAAAAAAAAGACACATGCAAATCCATTTGAAAAGAACAAAAAAAAAAAAAAGCAAGCTAGAACTTGATCTATCATTCCCAACGACCGAGCGCCTTGGGTTGAAGCATGGATCTGCTTCATGAAATGTGATATGTAGTGGACGATTGCCGATTTGTAGTTATGTATGGGCCTTGAACATGCCGGTTATATATGAACATGATACGAACATGAATCCTTGATCTGTGATCGATCTGCCTCATTACTTGTTTCGTTGTACAAATGCGTATGTGTTTGTTTATCTCCATGACTTGTTTCGTTGTTCCGACCAGAAAATAAATCTTATATTGTTTATCGTATGTTGTTTCACATGAAATGAAATTAGAACATAAGATAAATCGGTTGTAATTAAGAACTTGTAATGGCATTATATATAGTCACAAGCTCATCATCGATTAAATTCAATTCAACAAGCTAAAAATGGTTGGTATCTATATTTGTTTACAAAAGTACATATTGGTGAAAATCCTGAACCTCTTCCATGCATCACTGTAAAGTAAAGTGGGTGTGAAATTAATTTTATATAAAAAGTGTAGTGTAATTACAAAATAAGTAAAAAATTTAAAACTTAGAGGAGGCGATTAGCTAGGTGGCAGTCTGTCTGGCACAAGTCTTTCCTTTTCGATCTCTCTGTCTCTTGTTCAATGGCGCGGCGGGAGTGAGAGCTTCTGTTGTGATTCTGACAAGACACACAAGCTAGAGGATGGCTTTTACTTTACTTGTGTACGTTGCCGGAAATTGGGATTTCTGTTTCTCCCTCTGCCCGGCTCGGAGACGGAGAGTCGTCATCCGTGGTCGTATTCTTGGGAGCTGCGGCACATAATTATCTATCTACCCCGGCCCTTCATTTTTAGAAACAATACCCAAAATGTCAGCCCCTCCATTTTCGGAAAAGCAGCCAGTTATGAGTAACTGTGGTCTAGGTAGGGAGAGAAAGCAGGAGAGACTGTCTTCCAAAATAAACTATGGTCTAGGTCCAGTCCAGTCCAGTCCAGGAGAGAAGTAGGAGAAACTGTGCTTTGCTTTGCTTTCGCCCGCCGCCTTGACCCACGCCGGCGATGTCCCTTCACCGCTGACCAGCTCGCCACTCTCGGCTCTCCTCTCTGCTTCTCCAAGGAAAACAACGTAACTCCCCGCCTACGCCAGCCGGCCGCTTCCGCTGCTTGCTGTCGGCGTTGCTTCAGTCCCATTATATATATATATATATATATATATATATATAGTTTCTTCGATCGATCTGCAGATTCTTCTGTGTCCGCCCAGCCCCAGGTAAGGTTCTTCCCTTCTTTCCTGTCTGCATTTTGGGTATTTTATTATCACAAAGAAAACATCAGATGCTTGCTTGCTTGCTTGCCAGTTTTATTTTAGATCCAGTTTCCTTCCTAGTCTCTACTGTAGGTTAGAGCAACTACGGAAGCTCTGTTGTAAATTAACGTACGTTGTTTATGCTGTGATTGTGAGTGACCTAGTGCTGAAGCTCTTTTTTAATTTGTAATAATAATGTTAGTTGTTAGTGTTAGACGTTGCATGGAATAGGATTAGGAGGACTGTTTACTATATAATAATAATAATTAGCTGTTGTTGCATCACTAGGTTCATGGGATTAAAACAAACCTGAAATTTTTATCTCAAGGTTGGACTTGGGGGAACGGAATGGGGCTTGGGTTTGGATTTATTTGTGAGGCTGTGTTTTAGTTTTGACGGTTAGAAAAGTCAAGGTCCAAGGCCCAAGGGGGTTCACTCAGAGTCTAGTCAGTCTTACGCTTGGTTGGGCTTCAGGGATTGGGTGGGCTGGACCTGGACCTAAGGATAGGGATTCATGGGTTGTAATTTGGAGCTCGGTCGGAATTCTCGAGATCGATTCCGATCCAACAACGAAACCATTGATTTGTGTCCATAACTCCAATTCTGAACCATTACCCGCATCTTTTCTTTTCTTTTCTTTTCTTTCACTCAGGCGGTGTGGTTTGATTCGGTTTGGGTTTGCTGACTGACTGCATTCAGATAAGTAGGTTAGACAAAAAAAATTAGAGGAGCATATTATACTTTATTAATATTACCAAACATTTGTGCAGACAAAGCAAGTAGCCATGTTTGACACGTACGCCATTCAGACGGCTCTGTCCGCCACCTACTACTCTGGTACCGTATCCAATGATTTTCCTCCCTTTCATTTTATTTTCTTGTGTTCACGATTTAAGTACTGATTAATTCTTAATTATTTATATTTCTTGACAGGGTTGGTGTGCACTGGCCTTGCCATCATCCACGATCCTTGGTACGTCAAAAAAAAAAACACTACTTATACATATTAACTTTATATAAACAATAAAAAAAATGAGTAAACAATACTTCTTATATTGTTTAAGCTTGGCGGGGCCGGCCCTGTTCTCAAATAGAACGTGGCCCAAAATTTGTAAATAAATTTAATAAATACAAAAATTATAGATAAATTATTTGACCCGTAGAAATCCGGGTTTCCCCCCCCCCCCCCAAAATACTGTATTTTTAAAAAATATTATTCAAAATACTGCATTTACAAAAATATTTCCAAATCTATCCGTGGTAGGATTTGTCATCACATAAAATGAATATAATCGCGACAATTCTTCTTTGTAATAAATGCGATACATTTGTGACGAGCTAGTACTAACACCAATCATATTTCAACTGTTACACATCTAAGTTGTCACAAATACATAACTTTTAAGACTATACATTATCACTAAAGATAAGTCTTGTGACGCTTTTATTGTCACAATATCAATTTTTTGTGACACGTTTATTGTTAATGCTACAACAATATTGGTGATAAATTATTTTTTGTCATACATGTTATAGTGTTTTTGTCATGAAAGTATTCTTTGTGACGATAGTTTTTGTCAAATATGATATGATATCCGTGATAGGTATACATTATGATTATACTAATTATAGACAAGAGTATATATTAGTGACGATTTAATACCACCAAAAGTGATTTTCTCGACTAGTGTTTTACGTGATTGCAAAGAGAATTATATATCACATTAATTATATTTTCAAGACATATATCACCCGATTAGAAAATATATATATATATAGTTGATATCCTTAACAAGAATACAATTTACATTATTAATATCTATACAATGAAAAGAGCAGACTAAATATACACAAAATGCACCACTATGTTGTAACATCTCCTGGCAAGCTCTTGATGACCACATTTGTATCAAGTTGAAACAAATCCTCATTGGAGTGGAATTTGTTATTGATACGATGCAGGAGGGCGGCCTATAGGATCCTGAGGGGCAAAAGAGACGCCCAAGATTTCACTCGGAGGGGATATCTCGGCTTCCTCTGCTACATGATACAGATGTTTTACTACGGCCTACTGATCTGGTAATTTACATTCTTTTTATTTTTTTTTATCAAGGTAATTTACATTCCTTGTTGTTGGTGCGTGAGTCTGTCTAGCACAAAACTTTATCCCTGTCTTTTAAATACTTGGCAGTTTGAACTGATAAATTGGAACCAATACATTTAGGACACTTAGTTATGGTGTCCGAAATCTTGCTTTAATTTCTTTTACGTGGGGCTTAAACCAAAGGCTCAAAGAAAGGACCCAGTGCAAATTGCTTAATTTAGACTTAATTCTCTCCTGTCTGTAAATCTAATGAACTAACTTCATTTCCATGGCCGTTGTCAAGCTTCACTCAACAATCTTCCCCTAAGCTAAGCTTGACAATGGCCCATCTGTATCAAACTTAACACTTAGTACAATGTTAGTTGCAAAATATGAACTGCACAGTTCAACCTTAATACTTCAATTCTTCATGCACTTACATGCAGTCTCCCAAGTAAAACATCAACTGAAGCATATAGAATATTTAACTCAACTAGACAAGCTCCCCCTCAACCAATCCAAGTAACGTCGTCGTAGGGAAGTGCAGATGTTCTCCCCCTTGGCCCTTGGGCTTGGGACATTGTCAAACGATAAAGTTGTGAACAAAAGGATGGTCCAATCCAACTAGAAATTCAGGAGCAGATCATCCTCCCTTAGAAGAAACTCAAGTTCTGAAACTTGAACCTATCACAGACAACCCCTCCTTGGCTTAATCCACTACCTCATTCAGAATAAGTCACTTAAAGTGTCATGAATAGAAGCATAACGGCTATATTTCTAGGTCTGTACAGCTAGCTATCCTAATGTGCACACATATTGAAACTACATGAACACATGAAGAGAGTCCTAACAATGCATAGGACTAGTCACTCCAGTGTTTCATTTCATGAACCAATTTTCAGATTGATATAGTACAAGGAAAAACAGTTGCTGCAACCAGAATGCAAGGTTCAAAGACATCTTCCAAGGTAGCCAAACAATGTATTCCAGATTGTAAGAGCGAGTTTCAGTTCAATTCAACCGGAACTAAGAGTCAACATTTGCCAGTGTTAGCTTACTTAGCTGTCAGAGTTCACACCATATCATTGTACTAAGTAGGCCAGGAAATCAACTTACCAACTCCCCGAATCTTTGACAATTAGCATACACAAGATATATAGCTGTATGAATTTGTCCATAGAGAGAGACCTCTCTCTAGTCTACCATACTCCTCGAACAAGAGCAGACAAACTGAAAGGTTAAACCATGCACTCTAACATTATTTGAAATCGCCTAACCTGCTTTCATAAGGAAAACTAAGTTCAACGTGTAAGGCATCTCCATGAGTCTTTGGTTCGTTCAACAAGCGGTATTTACCCACTTTAAATAGAAGAAATTTTGGACTGAAAAAGCCATACCTTTGTCTGATAAGAATGGCAGGCTAACACTTACATCAGTGAGGTGATTTCTCCAAATGCCACCCTGGTTTATCTTTTATTGACCATTGCTTTCATTTTCCTGACTTGCTAAGTCATCTGCTTCACTTTGCTTCAGAATGGGAAATTTCAATGATAACAAAAATATACTCTTCTACCTTAAGACTCCATTTTGAGAAGAATTTCAAGAGCTCAACTATTTCTAGAGAAACAAAACCACTGACTCGTAGGACCTAGGCTGGTTAAGGCTATAGCAGGTCGCATTGACAGCTTCTCTTCTGCACAAAGAGCTTTTAGGCAGCTGAAAGGATATGCAATCTCAGTTAGAACGTCAAACATACTGACATAGATGTGATACTAGGTTTTGAATTTAACAGAAAGACAACGCAGCATGAGTGCAAAAAAATATGATACTTTCTTTTGGCCAGAACAGAATTCAATCTATCTTTATATTCAACCTTTCACCATTTAGAAAAAAATCATTCTACTAGTAGCCTGAGATTCACATATTGACACACTGTGGATGTTCAACTAGCAAGTCAAATTTGATGAGATAGATTCTTATACAGTATAGTACTTTTTAACTCCTGTGCAATGAGAGATACTCAACCTGATGGTGAGACCTCTAACCCATAAGACCAGTGATAGAGAATGCAACCACCAGTTCATACTCTTTCAGGAACTGTTAGTTCTCACGTCAAGTCATGCATTTCACTTGTAAGAATAAGCTAACTTTTAGTTCAGCAGCAAATAGTTTGCCTTCTCCTGTCATACTTCAATTCGCAGAAGCTCAATTGCCACGCAAAACAATCAGATTTACACCTAATTATGCAGAATTCAAATGCTAGGGCGAAAGAAATATCTAAGCATCCTTTCTACTTGAATTTGGTTCAGATAGGACAGTGCATTATATGGATGTCAAAGACATGAACTTTGAGTAACTATGATCACCACTTGATTTAAGAAAATAAGATCAAGATCGAGCAACTAAGAGGAGTATGGTTTCTTTTTTTCTACTCTGATTGCAGGTTCACAATTCCCGCCACGAATCGAGATGATATACCATTCATGGTACTATCTGCGTTCTCGATTGCAGCATACTCTGCCGTCGCCCTCACACTCATCTACAAGTTGAAGAACAAGCGGCAGAAGTTGTTGATTCTCGGCTTCTTGTTGAGCGTCGTGAGTGTTGATACGGTGATAGTGCTCGTGACATTTCAATGTTACGACACACACCAGGAGCGAAACGATTTCTTGGGGGATGCAGTAGTTGCATCCTCCTTTGTTACGTTGGTGACCAATGTGGTGGACATGGTTAGTATCTTATCTTATTTTTTCAACCACTATGTTATGATACGAATTATTATAAACAACTTCCTAACATTCACTTTTGTTGTTTTGGGTTTAAAATTTTAGAGGGTCCTTCGTCGACCGGAGGATGTGAAGGAATTGTCCGTTGGCAACGCTATTTTGTATTTCGCCGGGGCATTTTTGTTGATGATTTACGGGGTTTTGTACCGTGAAAAAAACATATGGGTAAGTTCTTCAATTATAACTTTCAGCCATATAGATTTAATTGATAATAGCTATAATCAAGTTGCAACCAAGTCGAGCTCATCAAAGAAAAGGACACATTGTGCAGCAGTATCCCATTGCAATCCAATATCAGAACAACCAAAAATGAAAGTCAAATGTTACCAACGAAACATTATGAAACAAAGAAGACTTATCTAGGATGAGCAACAACGGAACGAAAGAAAATCCAAAGGGGATACTGCTAGCTTAAGATTCATTAATAAGAGTGATCAATTTAGTTCATTTTATACTTCTTGAGATGCTAGATCAATTTAGATCATTATATACGGGTACCAACATGCCAATGATTTTGGTAGAAGAGAATTAGGTACTTGAGTTGTGTTTGTATATAAATGTACCACCAATTTCATGATTTACACTTGGGACTCAGCGACTTTCAGCAAGCAGTAATGGAAGGAATAGAGCTAAGAGATCGATAATTGAGAAACTCACCTAAAATGATTGATTCCTTCTCTGGAATTGTCGAGGACCACTTTCGGTGTCCTCGTCGTGCCACTGTTTTTGAAGAAGCACCAATGTCAAGTTACTTACCTAGAAGCATCCTTGGTACTGGGCAAAGCAATACACACAATGATCAACCAAATATTCCACAAGAAAGATACACTGGCTAACGGACAATCTGGGGCCAAAGCATCCTTAAATAAACACAACTAACGCTAAAAAGAAATGAATAGTAGTGTGGTAATTCTATCCATGAATAGCAGTGAGGTATCACTTAAACTCCTCTCTGCAGGACGAATCAACTCTGATCCGTGAAGCTTGGAGCTAAGCACTTGGCCAAATCTTTTGGGACTTTGTCCTCTTCCAAATGAAAATAAAGCTTCACTCTAAGTAAGACATGGTGGATCATGCTCTTAGCAGCATATAATCTTGCATCTAGTGCAAATATGTTCAGAAAATCATATGACATTAGTTGGAACCATCAACATAAGAACCTGAGCTAAATTTTTTAGTGGAACATTCGTCAATTAGAGGCTGCCAAGTTTTGACTGCTTGCTGCTGTCCTCCAAGCATCCTAATTCCAATTACAATAGACTGAATTAAAGGCTCTCAAGACCAAATCACAGTTCAAGTTGAGCATTAGTCATCTCTATAGAGAGCCCATGAAGTACCAACTGCTCAAGATATTCTGTAGATTTCTCAACAGTAGAGTAATTGTAAGTTTAGATGGAAGTAGTACACCATGAGAGGACCACCTTATTGCAGTAAACATGGGAATTACTAATCCCACTCAAACTGGAGACACATTTGGGTTCTCTTCTTTTTAATCAAACATCAGGAGATATGCAAAGAAACACTAAAATTGCATTATGAATGTCCTGGAAACAGACTCCATTGAACCACCAAGCAGTCCAATTTCTATAAACCCAAGACATATGAAAAACATAACAGACTGAAAAGAAGGATTGGTGCATTGATTGATACATAGAAAGCCATATAGTTATAATTAAATAGCCTAGAACATAGACAGCTGGTTGTGAAATGCACATGCATGACCCGCAAATGTTGTCTATAGCACCAAAAGCACATGCATGTCCAGCAAATGTTAACACACATAACCATGAAAGCAAAATATTACCGACAAAACATCATGAAAGCCAATATGTCTTATCTAGGATGATAAACAACTTCGGATTCACTTATGTATGATAAATTTAGATCATGCATACTTCTTGAGATGCTTGATCTGATAATGGAGCACTCGAAGGGAGAAAAAAAGGACTCAAATCTCATACTCAAACAAAAGTATCTTTGGAAGTGCTGTACATCAAAATGGGCAAAATTCAGAACTGGCTGGCCTGAAGGACATTGTTGGTAAGCCAAAAATCAGTCTCAGATTGCAAATTGTGAAGTCACTGGTTGAAGAGTGAACAATAAATAACATTGTTGCTAAGCCAAAAGTCAATGTCTCTAACTGTTTGAGTCCTTGCATTAATGTTTAACTGATTTGTATAAAAGAAAACCCAAAATAAGTTGATTATTACATACCAGAAGGTTATACAGATGAAAAAGACCAAACCACAGTATTACTGAAGCTTCATCCATCTGAAGGTAAAGAAAAGAAAGGAGAATAATGAAATACACAAACACCTCCTAACCTGGAAATAATCTATGAAAATTTATAGATTAATCCAGGACTTGATTCATCTATTGCCACTAAACACAAAATGAGAACTTTAGAAGGAGGAGCAGTCATGAGCAACCAACAAATAAAAAACAGCAGAAGTAAAACTGTGAAGATATATAGAGAGACCAACCTGTAAACGGCAGCAAGGAAAATCTTGTCTTCCGTGGTGGCTTTTGCCGCCGATGCCGTTGTTCCCAAGATGTCAGAAGAGACTCAAGGGCAAGAACAACCTGAAACAGTAACGAAAAAATAGAGCAAAAAGCATAATTAGCTTTTATTTACTAAAAGAATATTAAACTTTTACTCAGTCATTGAATCGGATGTGATTGCAGACTAGGCAGGCGATCAAAAGCGCAATGCACCTCATCATCCTAATGATGTTCGGCATGTACTACAAGGGAAGATACAGCAGCGCTGTAAGGACTACCAAATTTCGTCTGAACTGGGCTAAGTGCAGGCTACTGAATGCTATCGGCTGTCCATACGGTAAGAAATATTTTAATACTTAGTTTCATCTTTGAAGGCTCAAAAATGGTCAAACTGACAAAAATCTCTTTAACGTAAAATGGAGCTTTAAATACAAACTGAGTGTTTCTGGACAGCCTCTAAAATCGGCTCCACTAACTGACCCTCTACCTTTGTTCCTGATTTCCAGTAACCCACTAACAGCCACTTAACAACTAACTCTAACTTACTTGACTAAAACCCCCAAGTCCCCTGATCTGCACTAACAATGTTAACTCTTAAACCTCACATGCTTGGCCACGTGAGTTTTGACTCCAACAAATCCTCCCCTAAACTGAAACGTTTCAAGTTTCAGTTTAATTACAAATAGTAGCATCCATTTTTCAGCAGCACCAACAACAACTACAACTTTAGAAACTTGCAATGGCACTTCAAATTTTGCAGCAATTATTGTCAGTTTAATCTTCTCCACAGAATCCTCTTCACCCATCCCCAGCTCACCAGGTATCCTTTCAACCAGCCAGCCAGCTCCATTGCTTTTAATATGATGCTTATTTTGCGCTCCACAACTCCTAATACAAGTCAGATTTCTCAAGAACAAAAAACTGAAATCAATGTTTTCACTATCCCCATGTGTTTTGGTGCCTCCAACCACACTTCCTTTCAATCCCATTAGCTCTTGAAACCTTCTCAACCAGACATTTTTAATACCATAAGCTGCTGTTGTAAACTCTTGCTTCACAATATTTGCTGCAGCATCACTAGAAAACCCCCTTTCCTTAGTCAGCTTCATCAGAAGGTGAAAGATGCCATTAACTTGGTTGCTTCCATCATATAAAATGTGATTATGAATTCCTATACCTCCCCTTATACTAGCCTTCGATTTCATCCCCGTTCTGTTTAGTGTCAACACTGACTGGTTTCTTGATGCCCTCAACACTGCTCCTCCAACTGAGCAGAAAGTGTACCCATTAGAATCCATAGCCTTCCTTATATCCCTGCTAAATTTTTTCCAGTAAATTCTCTTTGGATCCTTTCCAGTAACTCCCTCTTCATTCTGTATGACTTCCACTCCTAGGTTGTATCTCATCCTACTCAAATCTGATTTCTCAAACACACCCTGCATAACACCTTGAATTACAGCATACAAAACTTTATTAAGCTTCTGTAACTTCTCTTCCTCCCCTGCAATCACAAGGTTTTGTGATTGCCCCACAAGTACATCTCTAGTCAGACCCTCGTGAAGAAATACATTAAGCACAAAAAGCCAAAACACAAAAAAAACATTTGTAATGAGTTTTGCTTTAAATATCCACTTATCTCCCATCTCCTTAGTTTGATTGGTGTGCTGCAATGTAAAATTAGCATCAAAGGGCTGCAACTCAAGTTTCATAGCTTGCTCTTGCTTCCTAATTTCTTCATATCATGCTTCCCCAGAACAACTAGATTTTTCTTCTTGTTCATCCACAATGCTGGAGGTATGCAAAACACACCAATTCCATTCTTCAAGACTAGCAGAAGAAGCCAGAGATACTGATGAAGTTTGTTCAAGTGACGTGGTAGTTGCTGGATTCTCTGCAACCCCACCAGCTGCTTCATCTTTTTCATAGGAGTTATATATTACATCTTTGTAACCCTTAATGCCCTTGAAGGATCTCATCCATCCTAGATTAGCCTCCTCGAACTCAGCCTTCTCTTCCTCCCCTACAACCACAAATCCCAGTGGTAGTTTCACATTATCAGCCATTTCCTTAACCCCTATCTCTCTAGCTCCAGGAGGAGAGTGAATGAGCTGCCATGTAATATTGCTCTCAACTAACTGCAACTCACTCTTGACAGCTTGCTTCCATTCTGCTTCCTTTGTTACTTCCCAAGAATACAATGGATCTTTTCCCTTAACCATTGTTGTATAAGAATCTGACTTACCACGTTCTACTTCATAGATATCTAGATGCTTTGGTAGTCTCTTGATTTTAAATTCTAGTGAAGTAGGAGAGGGAACCTTTAGCACATCAGTCTCCACCAGCACCTTCTCTTTCTCTTGAGACTGCATTGTGCCAAATGGAGTTACATGAGTTGCAGCTACTGTGGTAGATTGCATTCCACCAGTCCCTACTGTCACCTTTTTTGCAGCAACTGGCATATCTCTGTCAGACTCAGCAACTGAGATCTCTTCATCATATCTTCCAACAGCTTCACTCACTTGCAAACATAGATAATCCGAATTTGACTTCTCAATAGACTCAGCATGTAGAGCAAACATTTTGTTTGTCTTCATGTGAGTCTCAAACAAGAAACCCTTTGTATCATGAAAGATCTTGCAAGCTCCCTGTCTAAACGAAAAGCTAGTCCCTTCTCTTGCATTTTTCTAATGCTCAACAGATTGGTTCTTAAACCCGATACATATAATGCTTCATGAATAACCACAGATTTTTGTTCTAGTTTTAGTCGAATGATTCCCTTGCCAACTGCCTGCAATCTGTTTCCATTTTCTAATTTCACAGTACATGAAAATGATAAATCATACTAGTAAACCAATTCTTGTTACCAGTCATGTGATTGTCGCAATTTGTGTCTAGAAACCACAAATTTATATCATGAGATGTCACTAGACCAGTATGCACCTCCTCTTCCACTAGTTCTGCAGAAGCCATTAGCATTAAATTTTCTTCCATATCAACATGAGCAGTAGTTGAATAGTGAGCTTGACGATTCCATTCTGGGCATTCATAGCTGATGTGTCCCAATCTATGGCAATTGTAGCACTTCACAGGCTTCCTATTCCATCTACCTTCGTTACCCATTCCTCGTCTTTGAGCACCACCTCCACCTCTTCCTCTAAAATCACGAGTTACTTTTAGTACTTGATCTTCTTCTGTTGTGTGCCTTGAAAACTTTTGCTCATGGACAAGTAGAGAGCTTTGTAACGCATCAACAGTCAGCTCCTCTATATCTTTAGACTCTTCAATAGAACATACTATGTAGTTCAACCTTTCTGTTGAAGTTCTTAACACCTTCTCAACAATCTTTGAATCTGACATTGACTCTCCACAATTTCTAATTGCATTTGCCACGACCATGACTCGACCAAAGTAGTCATTCGCAGTTTCACCTTCCTTCATCTCGAGAACTTCAAAATTTCTTCTGAGTGCTTGCAACCGAGATTTCTGCACCCTAGCACTTCCCTGAAACTTGATTTTCATTGAAACCCACAATTCCTTTGCTGTTGCCTTGTGAGTGATGGTTTTTAAGATGCTTTTGTCAATAGAACAAAACAATTAGTTCTTCACTTTCAGATCCTTCAACCGATTCACCTCTAAGACTTTCCCCTGAGCTGCAGACAGCTCCACTCCCTCTGCAGGCTCCTCAAACCCATCAAGTACAACCTGCCAGTACTCTTTAGATCTTAGAAAGTTTTCCATCACCATGCTCCAATGGTCATAATCCCCATCAAATCTAGGGATATAGACCTGAACAAAATCACCATCACACTCATAATTGCTTTTCTAACACAGCAACTCTGCGTCTCTTACCCAACTCTGACGCTGCCTTGCCTGTAACTCTCTTGTTCCCCAACCCGGATAACACTCTTCTCACTCACTTAACTCTCAATAACCTAAAGTTTCACTCACCTCTTCCCTGTGTGTATTCCTCACAATACAATTCTAGTGTTCCCAAATTCCCACTTGCAAACAAACTTGCAGTTTTCACTCAATAATTTGGTTACAGTTTGCAATGAGCTCTGATACCACAATGAAGGCTCAAAAATGGGCAAACTGACAAAAATCTCATTAACGTAAAATGGAGCTTTAAATACAAACTGAGTTTTTCTGGGCAGCCTCTAAAATCGGCTCCACTAACTGACCCTCTACCTTTGTTCCTGATTTCCAGTAACCACTAACAGCCACCTAACAACTAACTCTAACTTACTTGACTAATCTGCACTAACAATGTTAACTCTTAAACCTCACATGCTTGGCCACGTGAGTTTTGACTCCAACAATCTTCTCATTTGATTATTTTGTTGATAATGTGATACCCCTAATTCTGAGATTGATCGCATATCAAGTAATTAACTATTTTCTGCATGATTTACAGCTTCTGTGGTAGGAAGCTCACTCACTGCAGTGGAGCTCGAGACGATTGTGTGTGATTCACCACCAGCTCCTGCTGTGGTGAGTTCGTCGATTCCAGATGTGGCCGAGACCTCTGTGCCACAGCCACCAAACAATTCCCCGCCTGCACCTCTCGACGTGACTACATCGGGCCCAAATGAGCCGGCGACTGCTGGTCCTCGCCCTTCTGTCGACACTCCAGCAGTCGTCCTTCCACCACCGAGACCACAGGAGCCCCGCACAGATGAGCAGGACTCTGAGGTGCCGAGCCAGGCTGCACCAGCTGCAACTGTCGCCGACACGACAGCAGAGGTAGTGACTTCGACGAGGCTGCTTGGGGAGATCCAGCAGTTGAGGATGTCGATGGCTAGCGATATTGATCGCATGCACCGGGAGTTCCAAGGCCTGTCTTTTTCAGTTCACAACATCGAGGCCAAGGTCGATGTACTGCTTAGGGATCGACTCTCGACCGTGGCTTCAAGGTCGACTCAGGAGATTGAGGAGGTACAGGAGTGAGGGAAGAGATGGTTTTATTCGGTCGAAGTTTGGCATTTCTTGAAGGAGGAGGTACAGGTCGACTCTGTTGTTTGTTGATTGGTTGGTCGAAGTTTGGCATTTCTTGGACGGATGGTCCTCTGTTTGTCTGTGTGTTCCTCTGTTTCTCTCTTTGGGGTGTTGACTTGACTGTCGAGGTGGTGTTAGTGGCCGTTCCGGGTTGTTATGTTTGGTTTTGGGTTATTTTTATCTCTTTTGTGTGCTTTTGTCGTTCATTTCTTTGTGTTCCTGCTGCTTTGTTAAGCACAATTAAACATGCCTGGAAGGCTGGGACAAAGATTTTATGCTGCCTCTTTCAATGAACCTAAATCGCTAACATCTTTAGCCTGCACAAAGTCATGTAGCAATGATAAGTATCTATCAGAGTTTGCAAGAGCTTTTCATTGCCCTTTCTAGTAACCATTCAAATAAATCACATCTGAGCATGGCACTCACAACTTCAGACCTACATCCAATGCCAATCCCACATTCCATACCATCTTAGGAAGACAATCACATTGAACTAGAAACTTTTCAATTCTAACAGTATCCACACCAATACAAGAAAACACATATAGTGTACAACTTGGTTAATGTACCCATCAGCACTGTCAAACTGAGCAGCAAAGGTCTTTGGCTTAACTTTATCACCATATAGAAGAAGGATAGAGAAGGGAGAAGACAGCACTTTTGTAGGCACGGCCAATTACAAACGACAACCCAAACTAACCACTATCGACAAATCAGTCCTAATTGTTACAATCCCGACCCCTTGAGAATAGGCTTGTCCTCAAGTCTGGAAAAAAGAAAAACAAAACTGGGATCAACCTACTATTCAACAATGAAAGTCCATAAAAGAGAATGAACGCCACAAGGCAATGAACTTGAAGAGAAAGGAAATGAGCTGCAGCTTCATTGTTGATGAGACTTCTGCTAATTCAGCAAACCATCTTCAAACTGCTAATTCAGCAACCTTCTTGAGATCACCCCTGGGTCTTCAAAAGCACATGATTGAGATTCCAACTCAACACAATCATCGGATTTACAGTTGCACTTCTTCTTAGACCCAGGATTGTAGTTTGCATATACACTGGGACTAAAAGCCATAACTTGCTGCCATGTATCCTCAGAAATATTGTATGCTGATTTTTTCCAACAAAGTCAAACCATTGGTTTTGCAACCTAAACGTCCCAGCCAAAACCCATCCCCATGCAGTAACCGCCTTGTTTACAGTAATGTTCTTTTGACCATTTCCGTGAGAGATGAAGAAAATAAGATCATAGAAGCACGATAAGTCATGGAAATCCAGACAACTGCTGCCTTCCTGGTACACATTTCCTGCTTTAACATCAACAGTTCTTTCCTTTAAAACGCAGTCTTTATATGGTTCTTTGAAGTTTAGAGAAGCATCATTTTGTTTAAACTTCACCCGAGGCCACCAATAATCATGACTGCTCGCCAACACCACACTGTTGGTCTTCATAGGTGAAACACCATTGTACAGCTGATTCTGCTTCCACTCCCACAGCTTGAGATGTAATGCTCTCATTCATGCCAAAACTTGATGTGTGGAGAAGCCATTGAGATGGATTCTTTTCTTGCATATCTCCACTAACCTTGTTAGCCAAAGTACGAACATAGAAAAAAATTGAGCTTAAAGCACTAATATCAGAATGGGCAACAACTACTAAAGAGTCACTTACAGCAGATGACTCTAGTACAGGGCTGCGGAGTTTGTTTGCGCTCATCTCACCATCTTTAGTCACAAAATCACCATTCTCATCAACTAGGTATGGAGAAGGAATAGAGTGAGCAACTTCATCCATGATGTTAGCTCTTGTATTGCCCAATCCCAAGTAATCACCAATCTGTGATTGCTTCTTCCTTTTGCAGGCCTTGATGGAAGCTTCTTCCAACTGAGCATGGTGATAAGCTTCTAGAAGAGTTTGTGGCCGAACCTTCCTCACCAATGCTCGAATTTCACCAGTCAAACCCCAGATAAAGCCCTTAATGAAGTAATCTTCAGGTAGGGATGGATTCAACCGAAGCAACGCCACTTTCACCACTTCAAATCACTCCTTATATCCTTCTATGGATTCCTGCTGCCTAATCCTATTGAACACCCCAACTACCCAGGCTATTTCAAGGTCCCAGAAACGTTCACACACCGCCTCAGAGAGCGTCGCCCAACTGCAGAACGCACGACCCAAACTCCATTACCGGAACTACCCTAGAGCCTTCCCCTCAAGGCCAGTTGATGCCAAACCCACCCTCTGGTTCTCAGGTACATTATGGGTGCAGATTAGTTCATCACATTTCCTAACCCAATCGTAGGGTTGTCACCAGAGAAGGAGGGAATTCATAGCCGAAGGAGACAGTTCTGTACCTGAGTTTAGCTGTTGAAGTCCTTCATCAAGGTCGAGCTCAACTGGCAGTGGAGTCAAAGAAACAGCTTGATGTGGAAGTGAAACCCTCTGGCATCCGTTGCTCTCTGCCGGTTATGAGGCAATGGAGTTCTGACAGTCCCACTCCCATCCCTATCTCCGAAGGCTGTTGAAGAAGGAACCAAGTCCGGAGTTCTAATTGGACTCACCTCAGACCTTCTTCTTCCTTCATTTTGATAGTCCTGGCAGTGTATGTAGTCGAACCAGCTGCCAGTGACACGATGAAAATAGCAATATGAACAATGGATGTTCCTTGCTACGACAATCCAAATCAATAAGGGAATGACAATCTAGACCCAAAATGGTTTGTTAAGCACAATTAAACAAGCCTGGAACAACAAAAAAAAAAACAAAATTTGCTGCCTCTTTCAAGGAAACTAAATCGCTAACATCTTTAGCCTGCACAAAGTCATGTAGCAATGATAAGTATCTATCAGAGTTTGCAAGAGCTTTTCATTGCCCTTTCCAGTAATTCTTTAAAATATGAAAGGTGGGTACACTTTATTGGCAAAACTGCTCTTTACTGTTTCATTTTTTGTCGTTTACTGGAAAACGCTTCTTCAACTTATCACATCCAGTCCCTACCAAGTTGCCGTCTCCGAACCGACGACGCCTGACCTTCGAGAATCCGCCGGCCATGCTTCCAGTACAGCTATCCCCAGCCGGTCCCATCTAGCGTATGGCTACTGCCCAGAAACCTCAAAAGATTTTGAACCCAAAATGCCATGCTTTCCGTATTCCCCGTCCCCTCATGCTCTTACCCCAAAGTCTGCAATCGTGTATCGCCGCTTCAATCTCCTCCCGTCCCCTCATCTCTCCGATCTACTCCTCGATGTGACGAGCTCTGCACACCTACTCCAGCACGCCACCTCTTTTCAAGATTGCCACGGGAAGACTCATATTCTCTCCATCAATCTCCACACGCCACAGCCCATGCTTTCTGTAGTCCTCGCCTTATTCCTCTATTTTAGGAGAGCCTTCTCTTCTCTGGTGAAACTCGACCACCACCAGCAGATGAAATTCCATTCCGCACCATCGACTATTTCCAGACTCATACTCTCTGTATCCAGTCTGAAGAATCATTGCCGCCATAGAGAGAGGACTGAGAAGACTGCTTTAATGCCGAATAAGGTCGTCGGGATCGACTGAAGGAATATGGGAAGCGAAGATTCGATTGGGATGAGGGGAAGGAGAGCAGGCGACGTTTGGGTTCCAAGTGTTGGGGTCAAGATGGGATTGAAGGAGCCGGGCGTGGATTTGTTAGGGGTTAGTTCCCCACTTTTGCCTCTTCTTCCTTCTACTCTTCTATTTTCTTTCTTTTTACTTAATCCCATGACCAAACGAATTTCCTATGGGCAAGGTCGAGAAGACAGTGGAGGTGCCTGTGCTGTGGACAACGAGTAGTGGAAGAAGGTAGGTGTACGGATGAGGCAAGGAGAAGAATGACGGGTTAGTTCTCAGCTTTCTTTCTTTCTTCTCTCATGTGTGCTCCAGAATTTTTATACTGGGTTTGAATCTGATAACTAAACATCCATTTTTTCTATTAAAATGGTGGCTACTTTATTCTGAGAACAAATTGGCTTTCTGCAGGTTGGCTAAGAGTTTTTCTTTTGTGAAGTTTGCACGCAAAAAGACGTTGAAGATGTATGATTTGAGCATTCTAAAACAGCTCCGCCGGAGTTCATGACAGTGGGGAAGAAGACTGCTGCAGGGAGTGTGGATTTCATGCAGGTTTTGTGTTGGACCGATCAGCATTTCTTTAGGACTTCAGAGAGTGCTTAGGAGGTCTGCAAGATGCTCGAAGAGACTCGGTCCATTTCCTACTCTGGTATGGCTCAGCCTCTCCATTTTCTGTTTTTAAATTGATAGAATGTAGTGGTTTCCAGCAACCAAGCAGTAGGAGCGAAGTGGTGCCTCGCCAGGATAACTCAAATCTTGACACCGAACTAAAAACCACTTGCACTGGCCTGTGGCTGGCACTTGGAGATGCTACACCAGTATATGTCTGCGTCTGGTCCATTCATGGATCTAATCACAATATTCATCTTCACTTGCGTGCTCTGGCAGTTAGTTTCTTTGTTTTTTGTCTCCAGATAATCATCCAATCTGGGTATTTGCTTTCTTCAATTTAACATTGCTCCTTATCAATCCTTTCAGTCAAAATTCTTGAGGTCTGAATTTTAGCTGGGATACTCAATCGAAGCTTACTGCTCAAGATCAGAGCAACAGGTATGACAACACTGTGAGAGTGGAACAGTTTTAAGCTTGAGTATGTATTTTAAGCTAGCACTTTAAAATCAGCTAACCTAAGCTATGGAACAGTTTTGCCTGCATATGGTATGGTCTTAGATACATATATGGACTGTTGAAGAAGAGCATTGCCAAGGAGGGACAACATGATTCCATGCAGGTGCAGTCACTCGAATAAACAGTTCAAACTTTGGCACTGCCATCAATGTATTGTTTGACCTTTTATATTTTGTCATTTGTGAAGAAATTCTGTCACCGAATACAAGAAGTCCTTCACCCATAGAAAGCATTACAAGTTCTAAGAGTCATACATTCTGCCTTCTGCGTACTTGACAATCAATCGGTTATACTATAGTCATGTGTTGTTGACTAGGGATTGTGTGTGTATACCTCTGTGTTTGCTTAACTTACAAACTGGCATATTGAATTTTATTTATGTCCCATTTTTGTCTTACAAGGTGTTGTCGCTTTTTGTTTTTGTTTTTGGGAACACTTAATACGTTGGTCTTAAGAGGATGATGTTGTTCTGTAGGAAACTATATGCTTCTTTGGAACATTAATCAAGACTTTGTACACTACTTGATATCTTGGAATTCTGTGGGTTGTTTGTGTGATTCAAATGGAAGGTTCAGTGAAGCTCTGGAAAGTTTAGTTAATAAGTTGGGAGAGGATATTGTCGCTGATAATGTAACAATAGCTGGTTATCTTTTTTCTGTATCAGGTTGTGTTTGAGTAAAGGCGAGACTTTTAGGTTCTGGATACAACCTCTTTGTGGCAGTATGATGGTTGGATTTCTTTCTGATCAGAACCTGTGCACATTTGAGTCTTACATTACATGCAATGTCAGAAGTAGCCTTCTTACTAACGGTGTTACAGCTTTCATATCATACAATTTCAACAATTAAAGTAGAAGCACAGGTTCAGACATTCATTTCGCTACTGTTGGAGAGAGGAAAGAGAGCTTTAGATTTTCCTATCTTAATTGGTAGTTTTCCTTTTTTACTAGACCAGATAGTAGTTTCTTGCTTGCTTCGAAGTTCTGGTATTGCCTTCTCCCATCACTGATTCTGCTACTGATTCTGTTTTTCCCGGTATGAATGAAATGCAAAAGAAAAGGTAGAAGGAAAGATGAATAGTTTTGGCGGTCTGGGGTATGGAACTGAAAGTTGGGATGGGGTTTTGATGTGGGTAGATTTTCTATTACAGAATGTATGCATGCTTTGAAAGATAAAGTGCTAGCTGATGAAGTACTTGAAATTTATAAAATGGCCCACAATTTCTCCATTAGCCAATCTATCTTTTATGTCGAATATTGGTTGATCATTGTGTGTATTAGTTATTACTTTAGCAAGGTATTTCTTGGGCATAGTTTCAGTATAGAATTTCAAAAGCTAAGGAAGCGTTTACATGCAGTTTAAGTTAACTCTGTAGACGTATGTTTAGTAGAGAATCGTTATGATTGTAAGTTGTCTTACATAACAAGAATGTCTACGTTTTTAAACAAAAAATACGATAGTTGATTCCTATATATAATTTATAACTAATTTCGTTATTGCAACATTGCTTTTAAGTATTACTAAACACTACTAAATCTCCCGCGGCGTAGCCGTGGGTATTGATACTAGTCATTCAAATAAATAACATCTGAGCATGGCAATTGGCAATCTGTCATACCCAGACCTTTAAAAAGGTGATTTTGAGCTGATTGGTAGCGCGAATCAGGACACTCACAACTTCAGACCTACATCCGATGCCAATTCAACCTTCCATACCATCTTAGTAAGACAATCTCATTGAACTAAAAACTTATTTTTAACTAGGTTGAGATGTTTCTTCTGGTTTACTGTGCTTTTGGTTTCTTCTTTTGGACTTGGTTAGGTATGCCTGTTTTTGGTTTCCTCTCCCTCTGCTCTTCTTCATCACCATTTGATTATTTTATCCCTTTGAGATTTGTCTCACTCAAGAACAGTAGAAAATTGAGGCATAGGAAGTTAAATTTTATCAATAAACTTCGAACTATATACTCACCCCATCAATCAAATGAGCAAAATACAACAGGATACTATGATATTTCGAACAATGTGATCATGTACTTGTATATGAATCATTTCAAAGCTACCATATTGTTACCCAAAAATGGAAACTCTTTTCTTTTTCATCTAATCTACAGCTTATAGTTCTCCATATGCCTCAAATAAAGAGCCAAGGGACGGTGATGATGAGTTCAGCTCAGATGTTAAAACGTCACGGTGAATAGATACATCTTCAACACGACGGACAGGGCTAGCTGCAGCAGAAAGATCCCGGCAACGATCAAGAACCACCTCTCCCCTGACGACATGATGTGGGCTCGGAGGTTCAGTGCAACAAATGATGCTGACATGAACCCTGCGACACCTGCAACTATCCACCGGAAGATCTCCAAGGGTACAATCGAGAGACACTGACAGAACATGAGACACATCAGCAGGTTATCTTTTCTATACTTATAATTCTATGCTTTCTTTCCTATAAATCTCCATAAATTAAGGGGAAATTATAGTCATTTTACACATAAATCACATATTTTAGTAACATGTATCCAAAAAGTCTGACGATTGTATTACCACCTAATCATTTCACAATCCATATGGTTATTTTTGTAATTTTTTCGAGCACCTCCACTTCTACTATTTATTTCAGTTGACAACTTGCTCAATAGGTACCAACTTGTCCATTGAGGAAAAAATTTGACTCACCAGTGTTGGGATGAAGATGAATAAAGAGTAGCCATAGAGACAGAAGAGCTGGACAAGGCCTGATGGCGCTGAGAAGTACTTGAGGATCACGTACAAAGCGAGAGGAACAAGAGTTACATATCCATAGAACAAACCGGCAGACCATGTCACGATGTTTATATCGTAGTTCCATTCTTTATTCTCAAACTTGTGTGCTACATAAGTCACAAAAGTTCCAATTGAAGCTGCTACAAAAATTAGGGTAGTGCATATCCAGAATGGTCCGTACCTGCACAACAGGAAGTTACAGGAATTATTCAACGGAAAAAAAAAGTAACAGGGACACGAGTAAAGTTTTGCCAGCTAATCGCATAAGAAACATTCTGATCTTCAACATTGGAACTTTGCAAGCAAGGTATTGACTTAAGCATAGGAAAGCTTTGATGTCGGAGAAACAGAGTAGTGAGAGATGACTCACAAATCTGGGTTGTTAGTTGTTTTCTCGTTGAAGGAACCATTGAATGGGAAAAGTGAATCTTTGATTCTCTCTAGAACATCTACAGTATCAACATCAAAGTATGGCTTGTATGAAGCAACTGAGAATGCCCGAAGCCAGCCACCTGGCTGTTGTAGTTCCTCCGTACCATTGACCGGTTTTGAAAATGAATCTGCAAATGTAGTCAGTCATTCACTAAGCACGACAATATGATACAACAAACTCCATCATGCTACAATGTACATATTGCACACAAGTATCAACTGCCCAAGAAACTAAAAAGGAAGTTAGTTTCATGTTGGCACACAGAATCCCAACTTGAATGCAATCTGTCAAATCCAATGAAAATCCAGAAAGCATGCACAACAACAAAGCAAACTAATTCCAGTTCTAATTCAATTCAAAGCCCTCAAGTTTGGGTAAACCACAAATTTCTAAGTTACTCTCAGCATGATCGGTGCTTCACAGACACATGACCTCCCTTTTCCTTGGAAAGGATTTGCCCAACAGAATCCCTACTCAAATATTATCTGTACAATTCCATTGAACATTTCCAGTGCTAGTTCAGAATCCACAGATTTCAGTAAGCCAGACTTGCAGTTCAGAATCCCTACTCAAGCAGAACTTCAACAAAGACTTACCATCAGCATCGCGGGGAGGCCTGGATGCACCACTGATCTTGCCCTGAGCGCCAGAGGGCGGAAAAGTTTGCAGATTCGACTCTACACATCAAACATTACAATCAAATGGCCGAAGAACACAAAAACAGAAGGAAAAGGAGTAACACCCTCCTAATCCTAGGCAGCAAACAATCTCACTTAACCACTCTACCAGCCCCCAATTTCGTACCCAGATTCATCACCAACCCGATTCAACCTCCCCGCAAATCTCATCCATCTCTAATAAATTTTCCCGCCACCGCCGATTCAGAAACGAAATCGGAATGAAAAATTTACCTGCGAACTGAACTGGAATGTGCCCTGGATCGGTAACCGCCTAGAGAGGAATCAGATTGGAAAAAAGAAGAAAACACAACGCTAGCTTAACAGATCTGGTACTGTGAATTATGAAACGAATTGGATATCCGCGAGACCTCTGAAAGGTAGGAGTGAAGAAGAGTTTTATACTTACAGGTACAGATCCTGAGACCTTCTGATTGTCAATGTGATGGTAGTTTCCGGACATCATCTTTCCTTCCCTTAACTTGCCTAATCTCCTCTCTCGCGCTCTGTATTCTCTCTATTTGTTTCTCGGAGAACAAACAGATCTCTTCCTGCCTTTCCTTGTGGCTTAATTGCAAGTTTGATCACTCGAATTGCTACAAAATTTCACGTTTGGTCATTGAAATTGGTTTATTCCATTAGTAGTCACTTAAATTAGTTGAACAGTCCAAGTTCGGTCACTCTCCGTTAACCTCCATTAGACTCAGTTAATGACGACCGTTAAGTGATGACGTGGCTAACAGAAAATCACAGTCAACATATTTTAACCCTAAAAATGACTACCCGACCCGCCAAATCATATTTGCCCGCCATGTCACCCTTCCCTACCCAATCCGCAAACCAACCCAATTATCGACCCAACCCCAAACCGACCCCCCTGAATTTGAAAAGTAAAATCGACAACCCCCTACTGCTCGCTCATCCTCCTCCCCTGCTACTACGACGAGTGGGTCGCCGCCGAAGGCGACGAGCCTCCACCGCCTGTTGTCGTGGTGGAAGAAGGCAGAGTTTTCCAAGTCCCTGGTTCATGTGACATCGGGCACAGCCAGAGGCATAACAATTACTACGGCCCCGACGAAGGATCTTACTCGCCACCGGTCGTCGTTGTGGAAGAATCGCCTCCTCCGATTGTTCGCGTCCACTCGGGCGAGCCGCCGCTGGGTCCGTATCCTGAACCTCCGTCGGAGATGCAGTATCCCCTGCCTCCGAAAGCCAGAGGGATGCACCGCGCAAGAATGGTCAGCGGCGGCGGTGAGGGAGTTAGGGTTTTGAAGAAGCCAAACGGCGATTTCTCTCCCCGAGTGATTTCCTCCCGAGTTCCCAGTAACACGGAGAGGATTCATCCTCTAGATCTGGTTGAGCCAATGTAGTATCTGTTCATCAGAATCGTGAAGGTGTGTGGATTGTCGCCCAACAAGAGCCCCTTCGTGAAAATCAGGACATTCAATCACTATGTTAGATCTAAGCCGACGAATTCCCGCCCCAGCGAGCCGCCCGACTCACCCGAGTGGAACCAGTTCTTTGCTCTCCCCCACAATAGGCCTGACCAGGTGAGCACGACTCTCTAAATCTCTGTTTGGGACGCTCCGACGAAGCAGTTTTTCGGCGGTGTTTGTTTTGACCTTTCCGATGACCCTTCCGCGATCCGCCGGACAGTCCGCTCGCTCCTCAGTGGTACCGTCTCGAAGGCGGCGAGCAATATTCCGCCGCATCAGAGGAGGAAGATGAGCGAGCAGCAGGGGGTTGTCGATTTTTCTTTTCAGATTTAGGGGGTCGGGTTTGGGGTTGGGTCGATTATTGGGTTGGTTTGTGGGTTGGGTAAGGAAGGGTGAATGGCGGGCAAATCTGACGTGGCGAGTCGGGTAATCATTTTTAGGGTTAAAATATGCTGACTGTGATTTTCTGTTAGCCACGTCATCACTTAACGGTCGTCATTAACGGAGTCTAACGGAGGTTAACGGAGAGTGACCGAACTTGGACTGTTCAACTAATTTAAGTGACTACTAATGGAATAAACCAATTTTAGTGACCAAACGTGAAATTTTGTAGCAATTCGAGTGACCAAACTTGCAATTAAGCCCTTTCCTTCTCGTTACGGCGTTTGTTTTGACTCTTTTTCTTCCCGAATAATTTATTTTTCGTTTTACTTTGCTTTACATGTTCAGCGACGAGTCGGAGTCACGGAATTGAAGTGAATCGAGAAACGACAACCCGCCACTCGACGTTGGCCAATCGGGATAATGCCGGGAAGTCCGATAGACAATTGGATGGATGCGGGCCTAAATGGAGGAAGATCCTGTGACTAAGTGGGGTGCTTAGTTACTTGAGCAATCTCTTGCTAGCACTTAGATTTAGACACAATAATCTGACGGTTAAAAAGTGGATGGATGCGGGCCTAAATGGAGGAAGATCCTATGACTAAGTGGGGTGCTTAGTTACTTGACTAATCTTTTGCCAGCACTTAGATTTGGACAAAATAATCTAACGGTTAAAAAGTGGGAAGGACTATTTAATTAATGACAGTGGTAGTTTGGGTATTATGGAAAATTACGAAGTATACAAACTGGATTTACAATCAGTACAAACCATACAAACATACGAACAATACAAACTAGAGCAACAAAACATACAAACATATTTACAAACAATACGAACTATACAAACAATACAAACTAGACCGACAAACAATAC